AGCACACCGGGAGCCAGAAAACATATGTATTGCATATAGATGGTGTCACATAAAACGCTGGTATAGACAAAGACATATCATCCCTGAGAGAGGTGCAGAAGTGCACATCTGAGAATTTCCTTTTTAAATCTGTGATTTGATGTCGGCATGTGCTCTCAACATATGTAACCATGTCAAGTCCCCTCATAGCTGAGAACAGTAAATTCGGATTGAACCACCGGTGTGTGGCCTTGTAGCACACATTCAGCCGGCCGCTTATGGTTTATGGTTTAGACTGCTTCACTGACAGGGATGTTTGCAGCACAGGAGTCTTGGCCTGAGCTTTACATTTAGCTGAAAAGTCATACATTTTTGGAAAGAATTTTGTTTCCAGTGCTTTCAGCTCAAAATGTGGAAGAGAAGATTTATATCCACTTTATCCAACTTCAAAAATGAGCCTACTAACACTTCTGAAGGTCACTAAGTTACTCCTATCTTTTTTTTTTAAATTCCACAGAAACAAAACTGTGAAATTGGCAGTGTAATGTCTTCTGGGAAATAACATGTTCTATCTATTACTTGGCAAACATCAGCTGGACACAGTCACTTCCTGGGGTCTTGTTATTGCAGTAAGGTTGCCGGTCAACCAGGGCAGGACATGATTTTTTGAGATGCTGCCTTTGCTTAGTCACTCCGAGCACTTGCTGATCAAGAGTGATTCATCCTAAAATCAGTACCTCATGTCTTTTTGTACAACAGTTAGTTTCATCTAAGTGATGTGATTGAACAAGAGGCTTTTCATAAGTGCTGATATACAGAACAACATAACAACAACATAACAACTTTTTTAACACATAATAACCAGCTGCCCCAAACACCTGCTACCGAATGGCGATTGTGGTCTAATTGACCTGGACGATGAAACACTGGACCGACTTGCCTCAACGGAGCTGAAGGTCTAAGGACATACGCCAGAAGAAGACTCCAACCTGCATTCAGTAGGGGTGTACAATATATTAATCTGATCAACAATCTAACAATCCAACATAATCAATGCAAAGAGAAGACATTGATACATATGGTCATCTTTCAGATTCCCATGGTACATCTGTGTCACAATTTCCATCCAAGCACACCTACTGCCCAAACTTTGAGGCAGAAAATGAGCAGCCTAGAAAAAAAAGTTAGGATATTTACTGATATTGTCTCTTATTGATCGCAGATCCCAGAATTGAATCAAATCGACAGCGTATCACGGCAGACTTTGGAATATCAGCAAATACTGTGTTGTTGTTCAAAGAATTGATACAATATTGCATTGTGATACTTACGACCCTGTGATTTACGCCCCTGTGATTTTGCATCTCCGACCACAGAAGCAGCTGTCTGACAGGAGACCTGTACTGAACAAACACATGCTACATGTCAGTGCCACGGGAAGAATTCAAAAGAGTTTGTATTTATTGGTTAATTGATTTTATTTCCCAGCCCACTGTTGGGAGTCGGGGGAATCTGCCGCTCATAGACAGACTGGAAGCTGATCAATCAACGTACAGCAGGAGATTTGTTTGATTTGAACAGCTGTCTGTGCAGATTACACTTACTTAACTTGACAGAAATAGGCGGGAGGGTCTTGGCAGGAAGTTATTATGGAGACGACTACAACCATTTGCTGAGGTTGAAAAAGACAGGTGATGGTTGAATTTCTGTTCAACGACATTCCTAAATGGTCCAGCGCCCTACCACGAATCAGGCTTTATGCATATACGGTAGCTCGCTAATGCTAATGTGCGGGATTGTTTATGTGTTGCTAGGCAAAAGTTCAGTCCCATCAGTCGCTGAACTATTTGTGTTGGTAGAGGCAAATAAATAATCAGATAAACAAACAAATCAGAATCTGTTTTCAAGTCTGTTAACTAATAAATGGTACTTATAGAACTTTTGTATAAAACTCGACTTGTGATGATATTCAGTACAACAGCACTCCTTCTCCCGTGATACTGTGTGTCTGCTTCATGTCTATATACTGTTCAAGATAAAATGCAATTACAGTGCTTCCATGGGGAAGGGAGTCAACTTGTAAATTCCCATTCACTGATATCAGTAAAACGATGACCACCCCTATCTTCCATTTTCTTCTGCCACCAGAACTCCTGCTGCACCGAGCAAACATGTGTGTGTCATTTACTGTCTGCATGTTCCAAAGTAAAAAGCACCCTGAAGAGGATTTGGAGAGAGCAAATGGCGATGACATGTTTGATTTAAACCGTTTAAAAGAAATTTAACCAGAACCTCCGTTTCTCCCTTTCGGCAGATCCTCAAACCGCTTGGCCAGGCGTGTGGCGAGAGTGACGTCAGTTAGGAAAGGAAAGGAAGTGGGGTTTGATTTAGAATTGATATGGCCCACATGTGTGTGTGTCGTTCTATGTGCTCAAGATGGATTTAATATTTCTGCGTTCGTCTCTGTTTGTCCAGTTTGTTGCTTCAGTTGTAGATTCAGCCCACTGGGCTCAAACATAGTCATGCAGTGCAGAGCCGTGTCACCCTGTAACCTACCTCCTGTTCAGGGGTGCAACATGGCAGCTCAAGTTCTCCCCATTTGTTTTTACAATTTGTCATCTGCGGTCATTTAACAGTGACACAAGAATGAGGCGGCACACTCTGTCAAAAGGTTGTGAGTGTTAAGCGTGTTAGAAAATAAGCCTCTGTCCTCTTGCCATGCACAGACGTCCAGCCACGCTCCTCAGGGTTAGTGTGGCCATAAAAATGACAACAGTAATTTTAGGAGACACAGTGGGCTGAAGGGCTCATGGCTCCTGTTTCATGGAAACTTTTGCCTGGGTCCAGACCTTGGAATTCGGCAACTGCACTGAGATGACTTATTCGCCTGGCATCGTGACATAAAGCATGGGTTTCTTTGTGAAAATAAAAAATGATCCAATGAGCGACGCAAGGGGACTAATGATTCGCCAATCAGCACCACGGGCCTTATGCAGTTTTCAAGTGGCGGAACTGATGAGCAATAATAACAACATTGTCGACCGCTATTGCTATTGAGGCTGTTCTAAATTGACATGTCTTCTCAATATCGCCAGACATTGTAGTTTATTTTTACTTTGCTCCACTCTTAAAAACCTGGCAAAACAAGTATGTTGGCATTGGGTACATCAGTGTGGACTTAAAGTGGTGTTACATTCAGGTGGATACATTGGTCTTTAGTGAGTGGTTTGGGAAAATTGAACCCCCCTCCCCCATGGAGGATATCTAGAGTGGACGCAATGTCAGACTGAAGATGGAAAAAGAGTGCCTGATATCAGGCAATGGAAACTCCATCGCTGACCTTCACGACTTATGGAAAAGCTCAGTTTAACTGTAGTATTAGTTCATAGATAAAAGGGTTTTCCATTTATACATTTATTGTGGTGGCCCGCCATGATATCAGCTTTTGCTGCCACATACTGATTTTCTATTTTTGGAGCTGGACCATTCATTAGGAGCACTTTTGGAATATATGTCCTGTTTGGTTACTCAAAGCTCCACACTCTCGAGACGCAACTCTCTATTTCTTAGAACAACAGCACTCTCATTTAGCGTTGTCTATCATTTTTCCAACCTACTTCAGAGGAATTTTGCCACGTTCCCACGAAACTTGGGCACCCCATGGTAAAACGCTGGGTCTAAACTTCTGCTTGAACTCGCCCAGTGGTGTAGTGGAGGGTATACTCAGGTATACGGGGTATACCCACTTCTTTTTCTATCCAGTGACAGTATACCCACCTATCAGCTAAACAGCCATTGTAATATATAGGAGAGTATGCCCACTTTCTCATCGGTAACCTACCTATCTACTTAGTAGTACACCCACCTCATCAACTACCACTACACCACTAAACTTGCCTCTGCAGCAGTTGCTCCTCTATTCCATGGATCTGATCGATCTGACCACAAAGTGATTGACTGCGACTCAAACTCAACAAACCAAGAAAAAAATTCTTGAAGAGCATCGCCTGTGCTATGTTCAGGGATCCGCAAAAACCTCCGAATTCATAGAGGGGACACAGAATGACACAAAGAACACACACACAATAAAAAAACCACAGAAACCTCCTCTCCCATCGTCAGCTACAGCCACACATAGATTCTAATTTTGTGGGAAACACTGAATACCAAGGGACTCACTGATTGACTGACATCACAAGTAGACATAACAGTTAAGCTCTAAAAAGCATGATGTGGGCCTTTTAAAGCCCCTGGTACTCAAAAAGCACAGTTTTAAGTTGTTAAATGACACTCCAGCCTTGTGCATCTTGTGTCTTCTTTTGTGCTCACCCTCATAATTACAGTGTGCATTTGACTTGATTCAATAGCGGCACAGTGTTGAGTACAATGTGTACAAAATCCAGCACATTACCTGACTTACATGCCTCCTTCCACTTTTCTCTTGCTCCTTTTTTATGCTTTCTCTTTATATAAACTCACATTCCCGCATTTCAACACCTGCAGTTGTCTCTCAGTTTTACCTCTGACAACATGTGTCAGTTGCATTTGAAGACCACCAGCTGAACCCAGTGTGGCAGCACTGTTTTGACACAAATTCCCCATGGAAACAGCGTAAAACAGTCTCAACAGTACCATGAACACACGCACTCAGAGACAGAGTCACAGGTTGGTAATCTAAGCTGCACTCGGGGCAGAAGTCACCTTGTCTGCTACATCAACAATAACAAGCGCCCCTTTCATGGGACAAGTCCTGTTCTGTCCAACCACAGGGATCTGTCAGAGGTTCCAGTGAATAGTCCTGTCTGTCTTCCTTCCTTTTCTCTATCTTTTTCTCTTTCCTGCAAATCATTCACTCATCACCCACCTTGTTATCTCGAACTAAACCTCAAGGTTATGTTTAAAGTTGGGGTTCATCATAGAGACATTGACTTCAGTAAGCTAGAATCAAGACGTCAAGTAAGAAGAATTTAATTTGTCTTATTTTGTCGTCTGATTTAAAATGTATATTGTCTGTCCCGTAGAGTGCCAAGAGCCTTCCCAACAACAAGGATTCACGCATCCTGTGGGCCAAAGACGACTTTTTACTCACCACTGGCTTTGATATGGTAAGAAACTGTTTGTACGTCTTGCATTGCCACATTGGCTAAGCAATGTACTGCTGTGTACACGCTAAAAAAATCAATATCAGTTTAAGTGTGTGCTATATTTAGAATATTCCCACTGCTTTACCTTGCCATCAGACAGGGATTTTCAATCGGAAACTGATGCTGTTATATCGCTCTCTTCAAAGCCAGACTCCACTGAGAAAAACAGTTTTTTACATTGCTAAACACAGGACCTGCTGGCCTATCGCTGCCTCGATCAGTTAGTAAGTTTAGTGTTATTGTGTGACTTTGGCATTTAAAAACATTTGTTCGGACTTACCAAAGTCACACAGTAACATAAACTAACTAACTGATTGGGACAGCGGACTCAGCAGCTCCTTTATTCGAGGCAAGGTAAAGCAGTGAAAATATTCTTAATATAGCGTATACATGAAGCTGTTATGGACTTTTTAGGTGCGACTTTTTTTTTTGTTATTCGTTGCTACCCCCATCCACAGCAGTACATTGCTTAGCTTTTGTGGCAGTACTCCTGCCTGCTTCTCCAAACTCATTATGAGCTGACTGCCATCTGCTGTATGACATGACTATGGATAAGTGGCTCATACAACCCCACTTCAAACCATCTGAACTATCCCTTTAAGCCTTTGGCCTTGTAAGCATTATCAATGCAGAGTCACTGGATGTGTCTGAAATTACTTTTTCAGCCCACGAAAAGCAAAAAGCCCATCTCAAAAATAGCAATCAGTGCAGTATATTGCAACAGTAACTTACTGGTATATCCCGAATGTGTCTTATTAAGTTTCTTTCACCTCATCTGCTGGTCTGAATGTTTGTGTTTACAGCACTTAACTTATCATGTATTTGTGTGTATAGATGCGTAATCGGGAGGTGAGGCTTTGGGACAGCAGGAAGCTGAGCTCTTCGGTCAGCTCGGCATCACTCGGCACTTCCAGCGGGTGAGTACTGCATCAGTGCGCAACCCCTGACCCCCATAACTGACACAGTTGTGACACCAACCGTGTTGCCCTTTAATGTCTGTCAGTGAGACGGCCAGAGGTCATGTGTTACAGCACAAAGTGGGACTGTGTGCGTGCGATGTGACATACTTGGCATACAGTTTATGTGTGTGGTATGTGGATGTTGGTGTGGGTCATTTGCATACTGTATATAGAACGATGTATGTAACGCACATTGTGAAGCTGGACAGGCGTACAGACCTCCCAGGGCTCTGACACTGTCCCTAACATTCTTGCCATTTCCTGGGTCAGAGCCACACACAGAGTCGCCTCTCCTCTCTCTGTGTCCCTCCGTCCATGATCACTGCGAAGGGTCAGGCAACAGCAGCACACACAACACGTCTCCTTTCAGCTCACCGCTTTGTCACATTCTGCTCCTGACCTTCCCCAAATCGCTCCGTTTATTTTTCCAAACACGGCTGCGGAGGACCTGAGGAGAGCGGGAGCGTGGCCGGGCTCCAGAGAGGCGAGGAATGGAAGGATGGAGGAGGAAAGAGAGAGGAGAGAAAGGGCGGGAGTGAGGGTTCCTTTGTCAGATCCAACTCATGCATTTGAGTGCTATTATAAACAGGTTTGTGGGCCAAGTCATTCCAGACTAAAGCACACCGGACTCAGCCAGGCGATTCAGCACACTGTGGTGGATTAAATAAATTTATTATCATTCTTATTACTTTAAAAAGGCAGAGAGGTAGCTCTTCAGAGCAGCACAGATTCCACATCTGTTCTTTGGCACAGGTAGAGAATGTATGGGCCCCTGTTTAGTTGCAGCGAGGCCCAGAAAGTGTGAAGATATGCAGTACAGTATAAATTCATGTAAATAGTATGAGCAGGTTTTTTTAGCCCAAGATTGCCGCAGCAAAGCAGCCTCTGAGGAATGTGATATTTTTTCCCTCCCTTTGGAATCTGTGTGTGTGTGATAGACGTTTCGGAGTTGACACAGCAGGGTCCTAAATAACAACCTCGACTCTCCCTCCTCCTCCCTCTGCCCTCGTGCTCGCCACTCATCTCCATTTCCTCCACTTCCTCCTTCATTTGAGTGAGACAGATAGTTGCCTGTCTGAGTGCCTCTTTGGAATCCATCGCATGGTTTGGTGCCAGCATACTTTTCATGGAAATGGAGGATATCTGATGCCACTGATGCCACATTTTTTTCCGTCTTATTACCAAAGCTAATATGTTTGTGATATTTACACTAGTAAAAAGCCCAGAAAATCCCCTCAGAACACATCAGGAACTGTGCATCTGCTGAAACCACAGAGGATAGTGTTAATTAGTTAATTTTATTACAAGGTTTGTCTCCCTGGTGTCTCTGCTCATAGACAGAGGAATGTTGACGTTTACTCAGCGTCTGTAGCTGCTGCTTTGTGGTTGTGATGATGGCGCAACTTGAAGAGAATGTACCAGCAATGTGAGGATTTGTGTCCTGCTCGTATGGTGACAAGCTGTTGAGCGTTTCTGATGCCTTCTCACTCAGCCACCGTCTGGTTTTTCTAAGTGTCTGTCCACACTTTCTTGAATCAGCAGGAGAGCCAACCATATTGGATTTATTAGATACATTTAATTAGCTTTGAATTTGAGAAAAGTCCTTTGGTTTCCTGTGTTTTGATACCAGTTAATTCGATATACCGTGATTCTTTTTTTTATTGAACATAATTGCTGGGGTGTGTGCTGGCCCATCTGCACTATGTCCTGTACTAAATCACTTTAATCATGCTATCATATGCTGGGATGGTGTGTCAGAGAGCTATCACTCCCAAGGCCACATCCCCTCCAGATGCCTGCAGACCAGCACTGATATAAACCAGGTAGGCAATCAAATGACAGATGAGACCTTGCCCTTTACTGCCATTCTGGCTTCTCCCCTTCCCTCTTATTTCATCTGCTTTGCCACAAATTTCCTTCAGCCTTGTCTCTCCTAGCTCATCTTCATTCCCCCAGGGGTAGTCACACATGAGCGAAATTTACATTGGCAAATATTTGCCTCTCATTCACCTTCATTTAAAGGGAAATTTAGGTTTATTTCAACCTGTCTCCTATCGTCCTAAATTTGTTTCAAGTGACTAGTGACATAAAAATAATAGTTAGCATGTTAGCCGTTAGCCTAGAAACAGCCGGGGCGCATAGTAGCGTCAGACCTGTTAAAACGTAAGTGAACGGGCAACATTCAAGTGCAAAGTTAGTCCACTAAACAAGCTTTTTTTCCACAAAGACCGCCTCATATCATTAGGATAAATGTCAGAGAACATATAGAAAACGACATGTAAACGTGTTGTCTTACCTTACCGGTGTGCTGCCGTGTTTGTTTACCCCTTTAGCTCTGCTTTCCAAAGCATGGCCGAAATATATCTCACGAGCTCTAGATAAAGCCCAGCTGGATACTACTCCAGGTGGAGGTGTCTCGTCCTCAGTTACATCCAGACCTTGAAAATAAGGCTGCAACCGGTCCCATTCCTTGCAACAGAGGCATTCCTCTTCTGTGGGCACTGGGGCACAGCATCCACAGGTACACCATCAATCTCCAGAGCTACGCAGCCTTGCAGCAGCCATTCCTCCTCTCTTGTCCTCTACCTGTTGCGCCTCTCTCTCTCTCCTCCTCCATTCTTCAATTTCACGAAGCTCTTCAGTCAGTGTCAGTGTATTCTGGCTCAAATAAATAAGGGCGGCCATCAAACTCTGCAAAAATCAAATTCCTCCTCCACAAAGTCGAAGTGTGAATGGGGATCGTTTCAATAACGTCGTCATATAAACGCAGAAGTTTTTTAAAACGCAAAGGACAAACTTTTCCATTTTTAGAGAAACCTTTGTCGTCTAAACAGGGCCTCAGTGACCAATTCACCTGCAAAAGCAGTGGTGTAAATGCTGAGGTGTGAACAAGTTGCAGATTCAAATTTTGTTTGCTAGCTCCACGTGAAAGTGTGTTTCGTCAGATTGACGTAACCCTTTATGTGCTTATGGGTGCCCTGTAATGTTTCTGTTTTCATTCACAACGCAGCTGTAAGGGTATTTTGAAAAGATTCTTTCAGAAATGTTACTAGAGCTGCAAAGAAAAAGATATGCTGCGGACATTGTAGTGTTTTGTTTATGTAGCTGGTTTGTAATTTGGTCATAGACAACACAGTCTCTTGCCGTTTCTTGAATTTACGGATGATTTTGGCGTTGGTCCTTTCCGATAGAAATTCTCAAATCTCTCCAGTTTGACATTTTCTTTGGCGTCTTTGTGTAAATAACCCTTCTTCTTCTTTCCTCGGATGTTTGTATTCTTCCTTATTTGTGCTGGTTGCATGTTAGAAATGTCATCAACCAGCCCACTTGCTCGCTGTGAATTCTCTGGACAGTGACCTGCACACCTGGGCTCAGCCGGACATCACACACACATTGTACTCCGGGACGGGAAAGATACGCTGAATGTGTGGTTTAGGTGATCCAGATATTTGCGTTCCCTCATACAGCTCCCCAGAGTAATGTCTAGATAAGCTCAGGGTTGCAATGCATGTGTGAGAGGGGCTTAGGTTTTGAAGTGGGAAAATTGCAGGTCACATTTCTCTGAATATCGATCCCTGCTCCCATTCACATGTGACCTCATGCAGGAAAGGTTCCTCAACATTTCAGGGTTCGACTGCATGCATAAAAGGAGCTTTACACTTTGTGCAACGACTTCAGTTTTTTCCCCATTTCCAATAAGTCGTTTTTAAAGTTTGGCCTGTGTCAAAAAAGGTCTTGAAAGGGCTCTTTATGTCTATGAACACTTTTTCATTCCCCTCCCCCCATCACGTTCTTTGTCCTTCACCCGTCTCCTAGCTTCTTGCCCCGTTTAAATGTAGCTGCAGCTTTGACCAAGGTCCCGTCTGGGCTTTTGACCAAAGCTGCATTTACTGGCCGAGGCTCCATTCTTGTCTGCTAATCTCCACAGTGAGAAACATCCAGAACGCTGTCAAAAACAAACAAGGGTTCAGGAGTTAAATTGAGGGGAAAATGTAATCACTACTTCTTATTTAGTCATATCCATCTCAGCGTCAGCCAAATGCTTTATGAAGCTAAATAGCTCTTAGACGTTGTGTGCAATCAGCAAATGCTGATAACAGAAATAGCTGGCCTGTTTCTACGTAATGGGCAAGGTCAAAATGTTTGTTATTGCTTGCTGTTTACTCAGTCTTACTGTATCGTTTTCTCTTTTTTTTTTATCAGTGTTTTAAAATGCGACTGAAGGATAGAGGCGTGCGTCTGGCCTCCTTCCACTCATTTTAGTCACTATTTATCCAGGATCTCACTTCGCAATTTAGTGTCACTCAGCTTTCAGTATTAGGCTCTCCTCAAGTTCCCTTTGGCCTTCAGGGTTTAATGGTTTGTTTCTGCTTTGTTATCATGGTGGGTTTTCTGTGGATAATTTTGTTTTAGTTCAGCATTGCCTCAGTGCATGTCTCTTATGCATAATGAAGCTGCTATGACAAAGACAATGCGCAATAATCAAAAGGAGGCCTTGTCTCCATTTTTCTCTGCACTTGATAGATTGAACCATTCCAGCTGAGGAAGCTCAAAGTCAAACATCCAGAGTGGGGCATTTCCTCCCTGTCATTTTAGGCCTGAGGTGCATATAAAGATGGATTTGTTCTTTTTTTTTCTTGCCTGTTTTTAATTAAAAGGGCCGCGGTAAACATGGTGTGTAATCGGAGCAGCAGGCTGGCTTGTATCAGGTTAGCTGTGCTCGTCCACGACATCCAGTAGGACTGTTTTCTTTGGAGTGTCACAACATAAAGAGGCCCAGGAGCATGAGCCAGTAAAATGGGGTTGTGGGTGGAATATAATTTGGATGGAGAATAATGGAAGGGGGAAATGTTTATTTTCTGGTTGGGGTTGAAATGGAGACTGAAAAATTGAGGGATGGAGGGTGATGAGCCTGAGAAGGGTGTTTTTAACTGTGCAGAGGTAGCTATTTCTGCGTG